TTATACTTATTGTTGAGAATGGTAAAACTAAAGGACATAAATATAAATTTTGTCAGGGTAGGAGTCATTTTCAGCTAAGATAGTTTTATTTTTACTAACAGGGTGGTTGTCTTTTGGATGGGTTGCCTTCAGATGTTATGGAGGTAGTAATCTTAAGTGAGTTTAAGAGAAAGCTTAAAAACTATATGAATGATAAGGACTGGTTTTGAGGGGTTTTATTTAATGTAATAGGTTTAGTTTAGTTTAGAGGATGAAACAGCCTAGATGGACCAATGTTATACTACGAAAAAAACTTATTACTGGCTACAGCACAAACATTGAGCCCTAGAGAAAAAACTGAGTAAGAATAACTCAGGAAAATATCTGAATACCATTAAAAACAACCTTACTTCAAACAGATAAGATCTGAAGATAAAAAACAAGGTGTTTATATTATATCAAGCCGATTATGTGGGTGAAACTGAACGTTTTGACACAAGTTTCTGAATGTAAAAATATAGAAAATAAAATTACATAGGGAAACACAAACAATGCTATTTTTCTTCATATGAAAGTTTCTGCCTAACAAATCAAATGAAAAACAAATAGAATCTTATACAAAATGGGTAAATGCATAAAAAACTGTTTAATCAAAAGGTTCAACATTTTCCAAGACCACTTTAAGCTAAATAGCTTTTTGACCTGTGTTCTTAAAAGAATTCAAAGTTCCAGGGTCATGTAGCCATTGCTGACCAGTTTTTCCATCCAGAAGACAACATGAAACTGAGTGAGAAGGATGTACAAATATGTGATATCAAAACTTCTGACAGTTTGTTGCATTAACTATTATTTTTCACCAACATACTTATCTCTCAAGAAAGGTCTTATGAATTAATTTTACTAATAGTCTTTAGGTACAGTTCTTTAATACAGCTAATAGGTTTCATTACCTTCAAACTCTATGGCAGATGCTTATGCCACAGGAAATCAGAGTTAAACACCAGTTATATGTTCCTTTAAGACATGGAAAGGAGTTAACTTTAATGCAATTCTACAGTAGAAATATTTCTTTTAATTGTTGTAGCAGTGTTTTGGCTTTTACCTGTATGCTCCTTTACAAGATTTCTGTGAAATTTTTGTAGGCAATTGTATTGTACAAATATTGTTCTTTCTCTGTTTTATAGTTTTTCAGTGAGAGTCCTATAAAACTTTTTCCTTTGCCAACCCTTATATAGCTAAATTGTTTTTCATAAAACATAAAATAGCTTTTTCCGCCCAAAGACTCATTTTCAAGCTAGTTTTATGTGACTGACAACAATATATTTAGGGTTTCTCATTTTATTGAATAATTTTCAACTATTACACTTGAAGCACTGTTATATAACTAAACTTGTGATTGCTTGGTGTACAAGACACTTTTTCATGTTTCCTCATAGTTTTATAGTATACAATTAAAAAGAGTTGCCAAAATGTACTACATATAAACAATAAACCTTTATTATGAACCCACAGTTGGTCAGAAACAATCATTTATTCTAAGTACTACATAATTGCTAATTTGCAAATCTAAGAAATTTCCTCAGAATCATCGAGATAATGTTCTTATATTTTTAGGGCCATTAATAACAGTTTGGACCTGATCATTTCAATGTTTAAAATAATTTCTTAAGATGTTTAGAAGCACAAAACTCTAATAACTAAATACAAATGCAGTAAGTGAAACATAACAAACAGACCCACCTAATTACGTGTGTCAAACTAGATTACGAAAAATAAGGTTCAAGTATTTTCTTAAATCAACTTGTTCTGTTTTCACGTGAAGAGTTGTAAACAGCAATCTGTCCCAGGATAAGGAGGTAGATTTAATTGAAATTTTTTTTCCAGTTGAGGTGGGATAAACCTACCACCTAACCAATGATACTTTCCTTGAAAAAGCTCAGCACATTTTTTAGGAGCAGTCAAGGATATTAGAAACTCGGGTTGCAAGCCTTCTGAATTGCCACTTTCAACATCCCAACCTATAGTGGAGTTAAAATAACCTATTAAAATAACATACTTTTTGGAGTGCTTATTTTTTTTATGTTTCTAGCATAAACATATATTTTTTATCAGGGGAGTTAAACAGAAATGGGAATAAGAAAGACAACAACAACCTTAAAACAACTTGATGCTGGTTATCTAGGGCTACGACTAACTACTACAAGTGTGTCAGCAGCAATATTAATATTATTCATTCCCAGTTTTGTGGAATGATTGACCCAAGGAGTTGGTATTACTAATGGTATAATTATTCGGACTACTATTCTCATCTTTAGTATGTATATTATTATTTAAACAACATTTCAATCACTGAAATCTTTAGCCAAGTGGTCAGAGTGCCCGTATTTGGGATCCTAGGTTTGGGGGGTTCAAATCCTGGTAATTCCACAAAAAGCTTTCTGGTTGTGATGCATACAAAAAGTGTCAGATATAACACCTGATATGGCCAGAGATTTCATTGAACAATATTTGTTGTCTTAATGAGAAAACAAATCAGATTCTGACAGAGACTGCCCTCTATATGCAAAGTTTTTTGCTCGTCACTATACTTGAGACTTCCACCTAAAGTCACATTTCCACGTGATACCGCAGTGGTGTTGCATGCAAATGAGTACACGACAACTCTCCATCAGAGTGGTGAAACACATCTTCCTAGCACAGCTGGCTCCCCCTATACTTAATGTTCAACCAACACTTTGAGATTAGGCAAGAAAAGATGCACTGGAAGTGGGGAGGACGAGTAGAAGGTGTGAGCAGAAGTATCTATCTATCACAAATACATTTTCAGTGTTGGAAAATATTAAGTCCTGATACAATATGTAATATCCACATACATATAGCTAGAATCTCACGTTGAAGTGATGGAGGGACTGGTGCTAAATTAATCTAGATAAGCCCCCTCTGGGAAGTGCCCCTATACTGTTCCATGGTATAGGATGTTGCACTGCATGGGAGATCGAATCTTGTCTGCACCAGGATACACTCTCTGACCATAAAGAAGAGAATTGTCACTAGAATGGGTGGAAAGTACAAGCACAGTCCAGAATCTGCATCAGGCTCACAGAAATGTTATTTGTGTAGTGTGAATGGGGAGTGTCAGGCCATATGTGACGGGTCAACTCCAGTCCAAACCAAGCAGTATCGGGAATTTGTCATCTGGTCCGCTGTAAAAGGAGGGTCCCTACCATCTTTACCTCAAACCCAGTGAAGTAGAATGGGAAAGCAACATCACCCCTGCAAATTCAGTGAGGGCTTTTGTTAGCTGGTCCTGCACCAATTGAACACCAGACTACCTTGGAACTTGACATTAGGCCAGCAGAAGGATGGAGGAAAGCCAGCCAGAGTGGTGAACTGTACTAACCAACAAAACACCATTGCCTTACTCTCTACTGAGTGGAATTGGTCATACCCAAGAAAAATTCTCCATGGTCCACCACCCCAGCAGCTAGAAACTGGTGAGTGGCAAAGGCTCCCATGCTCTACTAAAAGAAAAAAAAGGAGGGGTGAAAACATGATAAGGAACCCAGAGTAGAATGCGCAATGGGTGATGGTTATGGTCTGGATCAGGCTTTGTTTAAGAGAATAATTGCTGAAAAGATATCTCTAGCAGTCTTGTAGATCACCCCATCTAATAAATGAGCACTATATCAACCCTTGATGGCCCTATACTATGTGGATTTTTTTATAAGTATACCAATTTGTCACTGAATGGGATTCAGTGAGGCATAAGAGGGCTCTGGAAAAGGAAGAGAAAAAGACAGAGAACTTACCCAGTCAGAACTTCTAAGAGGTGTGTAGAATGGTGACTGTGACTGGAGGCACCCTGTAGCTCGACAAAGAAGAAACAGCCAGATGATGGAGATAGTGTGTGACAAAAGTATAAGAGGTTGTTCACACACCAGCTTGAACAATCTTCTCCAACTGACAAAAGAAGTGAGCAGCCAAAGAGAGTGTAAGGTGCCATATTTGGTGTGAAAACACCTGGAAGCACTGATAAGCATCCCCATCCAACAAAGAATATAATAAATGGATAAGCTGACAAAGCCATTCAGTAAGGGTAATGGAAGAAAGATCTCAGATGAAAGAGAGATTCCAAGGAATGAAGGAACCACAAAAGGGAGCAGTGCAGGACAAATAACAATAGACCGCAGGGATAGGATAGAGTAGGTGATCAGGATCCGAGTGAGAATAAAGATTAAAAATAGTTGGGAGAGACACATGAATGAATGCACTGTAACCCTCACGTGTCACAGATGTTTTAGGGAGAAAAGTGCAATCAGAATAGAGAAGGACATAGAAATGACAGAAAAGAATGCATGAAGAATCAGTGGCATAAACTTCAGAACTTAAGATTACCACAGGCAAAAAAAAGGAGAAATGGGTTGTAAGGAAAAGATGGTATAAAGAACACAAGGCCAAAGGTTGAAATGGAGGAAAAATAAGGGTGTGAAGAACAACATTCAGATCCAAACTGGGAAGGACAGGGGGATGAAGGTGGTGAAAGGAACAGAAATGTATAGTGAAAACAGGGTATGAAAACCAGAAAATATTAGAGATAGCACGTGGTAACCAACAATGGTCAATACAAATAAATCCTGATTGAAAAGCCACATGAAGAAGTTGGAGAGAAAGGGGACAGAAAACTGAGAAGGGGAGAAAGAAGAATGTAATGACCAACAGTGAAAAATATCCCATTTCTGCTGATAGAAAAGAAATGAGGATGTGTAACCACAATGAGAAAGAAGGAAAGAAGGTTGGACCAGTCCTGACTGAATGCATCTACTACCAGAGCTGAACAAGAAACCAGGAAAGGGGAAGCTTGGCAATAAGTGGCAAAGACAATGATGAGAAGAGTGACCATACAGGTGTAGAAGCCAATTGAAAACCTAAGGATTGATGGACTACTCCATGAGCCCTGAGAAACAATCTGTGACAAGATTCAGGACATCTGGAACATGAAAATCAACCAGTTAGATTTGTAGAGAATGGGCCCAGAAGAGGAGATTGAGGGTGTGGAAACAGAGAGAGCTAGAACAAGTGCCTCCCTGGTGATGGATATCAGAAACTACAGTTCATTGTCCATAGGGATCATAAAGAAACTGGCACACACGATCATAAGAAAATGATCCAAAGCTAAATGAATTGCCAAGAGTTCGACTTGAACGATTGATTCATCTGAGGACTATCAACCAAGAAAAAAAGAAATGGTGATCCAGATGAGAAAGAAGAAAAGGAATATCTTCCATTGTGTTGATTCTACTGAGCTATCAAGTGAAATGAGTATGCAAGGAAGGAGGAAGATGAATGAGAGAGGGTCCATTGAACATGCAAAGTCCACTGCAAACAGCTCATGTGAGCATGACTCGAGGGGGATTAGAGATTCCATGGACGCCCAAGTCCCCTAAAAAGCCTCCTGCATAGGAAGAAAAAAAAAAGCTAGAGCAGTGGAAACCAATCACTCTATGTCCCTCAAATGAAGTGGAGAAGGCTGGGCCCTGCTATGATTAGAATTGAAGAACACACCCAAATGAACCTGATACGGAGTGGGTGTGAGATGAGACTTTTCTAGCTTTACTAACCAACCAAGATTCTCAAAAGAGTAGAGTATGGCTGTGGAAGGCCTGTTGGGACAGAACTAAAAGAAGTCAGTTGTCCATATAATGGTGGGAACATAATCCCAAAACATTAATGTGAGAAGCAAAAGCATACATAACTCATCAAAGAATTCATGAGTAAAAAAAAAAAAAACAATCTCTACATATGAGTGCCAGATTGAGAAGTGAAGATTGAACAATCAATATAGAGGGAGTCAGCTGTGTTAAGAGGGTGTATCACATTCCTATTGATGGAGGGTTGTTGCAGGTAAAAGGGCAACAATATCACGTGGAAACATGATTTTAGATGGAAGTCTCAAGGCTAATAGCAAGTGAAAAAGTCCGCATACAGATGAAAGCACTGAATCGCAAAAGCTATATATGAGCAGGGGATTATGTGTCATATTGGAATTCAATATTATTAAGCTGTTTTAAGACACAACTAGACCAAGTACTATACTTTTAACCTGTTTCCCATGTGACAACTTAACAAACTCACAAGTCATTAATAAAAATAATGTGAAATTTAAAAAGCACAACAAACCTGATGGGATATCAACACTACACAGAGGAATGTGAATATTCTTCAACGTTTCCAACACCTGAATAAATTCTGGTCGAACAGGAGGCTTGAAACTAAAGCCGAAAAGAGCATCTATAACTACATTGTATGATTTTGATATATGCTGTGCATCAGGCAAGGATGGTAAAAAGGGAATTTCCATTTCTTGGCATTGTATAGTTAAGTTCTTCAGCAACTGTTTGTTTGACTCTTTAGGATAAAAGACAGATGGTTTATACCCCTATAACAGAAAAAATATAAATATATATATATATATATATATATATATATATATGAGAGAGAGAGAGAGAGAGAGAACACATATCAAACACTGGGGAACAAACTATAAGATGGCTTACTATGTAATGTTTCCTGGTTTTTGCCCAGGCATTGGATGTTTGTTTTGTCACTGCTTTATTCTTTCTTCCATTTTTTTAGGAAACTATATATAACATACACCACTTGAAATGCAACATATTTTCATTTCATTCCAACAAACCTATTTAATTTTACAAATTAGTTTAAAATATATTCATGTTTTTTTCCTTAACATTTTGCCATAATAACCTGGCCATGAATAACACCTTCAGAAGTATTTTTCTTGGTTTCACTATTTCCTTCTCCTGTTTAACAGTCATTATTCACATGATTTGAAAACTATTTCACATGATAAGTTGACATGACTCTTCACTGGCAGATTTTTTACCCAATCATAATGACACTAGATAAATCTTTACCTATCAGTACAAGTGAAATCAGAAGAAATGGAGATAACTTATACTCTTGCACAAAGGAAAATAGCTAAGGTCATATAATACTGATCATGAAAAAAAATGATGCCCTGGTAATCAATGTATCACATTTGTAGAAGATTGCTTTTATCTTTTCTAACATATACAAGAGTGCTGAGCATAGAATTTTTTGTTTATTTGTTAGTTGTTAAATACAAAGCTACACAGTGACTATCTATGCTGTGCCCACCATGAGTACTGAAACCCAGTTTTTAGTAGCATAAGTCTTCAGACTTACCACTGAGCTACTGGAGTAGAACAGAGATTTAACAAGTCTACTAAATCCTGTTGATTCTCCTAAAACATCATCCAACAGAAAGAGGCATAACTGATTAGAAGTACTTATTGAAAACCCTCAAAAATTATGTCTAAAGAAAAGGATTCCTCCTGTTACACTACACTATAACATTCTAAGCCTTCAGTTGAAAAATTTTCAGGTAGGCAGTTTTTCAGTGGTATACTCTATTGGCTATGTTGCGAGATAAACCAACTTATTTGCCTAGAATAGGAGTTCAAATTTTTATAAATTATTGCCTGAGTATATGTTTAACCTAAAATATCACTATATCTTGACCTAAGGCCAAAAGGCTTCTGCAGCCCAAGGCCTGAAAAGTTAAAAACTTAATTCTGATCTGTCCAGAATAAAATAGGTAGGTAGGATAAGAAAACAGCATAGTATATTGTGTGTAGTACACTATTATTTATGAGATCTAGAAAGAAGTGATAACCCTATGTATACAGGAGGGTCAAAGTGCATGTCATATCCTTCATACAGTTGCATTAAAGAGTCAACCTACTTTATTACTGATGTATGTTATTAAATTTGGCAACAAAACAGTTTATAATTAAAATTATCATATTATGTAAGTTCTAATTTTTAATTTCAAAAGGAAATATAAAAAAATCCCAGTCTTCATCTCTCTATGTCACATGATGCATCTCCCTTTTCAATTCCCATTTTTAGCTTTCCTCTCTTCCCTTATATGGGTTTCAGACTATCCAACTAATAAAAAACAAACTACAGATAATTATAAGTCAGAATATAAAATTCAAACCACCTAACGTTTTGATCTGCTGAGATATAAAGAATTTGTGCAACCACCATTAACTACATCTACATTAGTTTTGAAAAAATTTATCAAAACTAAATGTCCTGATTTGATAAATATTTTTATAACCATTAGAAAGGTTTTCTCCTTTACAAGGGTCTCATTAGCATAATTTATTTGTGGCCAGCACATGTCAAAAGTTTCTTTGATTGTTTTCAGCTCCAAGCAGCTAACAAAAGCCAGTTAAAATGATAGCATTTTTGGATTATTTGTTCTAGTGTAAGATATACTTTTTGTATTTAAAAAATGCATAATGAAATAAAGTAAGGCCTAACACAGTATGATTTTACACTTGCAAAGATCACATGAGTCACACACACTTTGCTCATGATGGTTATGATAGGTTGGTTTGGTTTTTTGAATTTCACACAAAGCTACACGAGGGCTATCTCGCTAGCCGTCCCAAATTTAGAAATGTAAGACTAGAAGGAAGGCAGCTAGTCATCACCACCCACCGCCAACTCTTGGGTACTCTTTTAACAATGAATAGTGGAATTGACTGTCACATTATAATGCCCACATGGCTGAAAGGAGCAAGCATGTTTGGTGGGATGGGGATTCAAACCTGCGATCCGCAGATTGCGAATCGAGCGCCCTAACCACCTGGTCATGCTGGGCCGTTATGACAGGTATATAATGATTTCTGTGTGATTCACTGCCTTAGGCAGGAGAATTACTGCATTGGTGAGTCCAAAATATAGCAATAAAACAATAGAATGAAAAAAAACATATAGAAAGAAGTTAACAGTGTGAAGATACGAGGACCAATCAAGCAAAATAAATCACTGAAAGACGAAGAAAAATATTTTATTTAATATTTTCACAATTTTTATCTTACTGTACATTTATGATTTCATTACAGTTAATGTTGAGATAAAGAAAATAGAGTATGAGGTATAGAGTTTTCCACAAAAAAAAATCTTGTAATATTCATTGAGGACTTTCTAGAGGTTATACAAATAAAATATGAAACTGTAAGATGAACAAAGAAATTTTTTATTATTAATATGAAAATCACCTTGAACTCAGAATTGAGTCAGATCGACTCAGTAAAGGCTTCAGAAATTCATAGACAAATGTTTTGATAGAATACTTTATAAAATATGTTTTTTTGTTGTTGTTTACAAAATTTTAATGTTTACTAAAAGCTTGTCATGTTACATAAAGACACACTCAGTATATTCAGAGTAATTTTGTATAGTTCCATAATTAAATAGTGGTTATAAGGTCAAACATATTTACCAAGTCCTATTCCACAACTTAACAAGAAATTCAGTGGCACTGAGAAGATAAGGGAATTAATAACTTGTTGTTTTTTTTGTAAATATAGTCATCAAAGAGAAAAGTGTTTGTGATATTTACATATTCCTTATCTTAAAGTCAAATAAGAACAAGGAGGATATAATTATTTTCAGATAATAAATTCCTAAATCCTTGCCTTTTTTGACAACTGTTAGTTAAAAGATTTAAACTGAGTATAAATCATAGATATATTTCATATTAAAAAGATTATATACATGGCCCAATTTCTCCAAAAGCTAAAGATGTTTGTCATAGTGTACTCAAAACAAAGCCCTTTTATATATTTACATACATATTATATAATGCAAAAATAAAATTATTTCAAATATCTACTTACAAATAAACTAAGGTGTCGTGCACACACCAGACCATCTCCTCCATTGTTTCCAGGCCCACAACAAACTAGAACAGTTCCTCCATGGGCCATACTATTTAAAGGATAACACTTGGCTATAGCTGTTGCCACACTCAAGCCTGCTAGCTCCATCAGCTGGTCCACACTATATGCATATTCATTAAACAACTCTTCATCTATCTTAATAGCTTCCTGCTGGCTATGGTAGAGAAAATTTCAATAATTTTACAACTGTAAAGCTACAAAACAACAAATAAGAAATCCATATTGTTATAATCGTATCATTATTACTGTTTTCTTCCAATTAGTTATAATATATTACACTAGGTGTCACTGTTATGTAGTTCTAATGCAAAAAGAGTTTTGTAGATATAAAGGCAGTTGAAGTGAGAGGTACAGTAACTGAAGAAAAAAAACTGCTAACTAGGGATGGCTGTATGAGGATGGATTTAATTTTGTCTTGAATATCATAGTCCAAAGATTATCATATTTACAGTTGTACAAGTCCAAAAGGATTATAAACCCAGGACTGTCTGCTGCTATTATGTCAAACTACTTTATTAGTATGCTGGACTCTTCTGAGTTGCCAAGCATGACTAGTAATGATAAACTGTGGTCCTTAGTAGAGAAAGACGTCAAGGCCAGCCACGGTAATTAATAACAGACTTTTATTCATCAGATGATGGTATAATGAATAATTGTTTAAACATTACATGGTTATGGTTTAAATATTTTTTTTTTATATTTGTTTTATTATTTTTCATATTCAAAAATGTGTTGCAATATAAATTTTCTATTTTTAGTTGCTCTAGAAACCTTTCTGTGGATTCATTGATATTTCAGTACATAACAGAAACTGGGGGCTCGTCCAGGTTCAGATTTATCTATGAGTAGCCTTAAAGAGTTTACTGTACATCCTGCTTTAGAAAAGGTGTGTAGTCTTAGAAAACCAGACCTGTAGGATGTGTGTACAAATCTTGAATTAGTGGTTAAGGTGGCGATGAAAAAAGCAGATATACTGAGTATGTTAGTACATTATTTCGTTGATGAGAAAAAGTTAAATAAGTGTGCTGAATGATGTAGAGCTTGTGGATTCACAAACTCAAACAAGCCTGAGAAAAAAGAGAGTTAGAATATTAGGTTCAGGTTACAGGAAATTGAACTGAAGGTATTATAAGTTCAAAAAGAAAAGAACTGGGTTACATACATAGGCTTGAAATTGAAGGGAAAGGTAGGGAAATTACCAGTAATTATTTAATGTATGTAAATATATATGATTAGTTCCCCCTTTTCCGAAAAAGGATGTTGAGCAGTATTTTCTACATTTTGAAAGGTTACAGAAAGTTATGAACAGCATAAAGAAAAATGCTACTGTGTGTTAGTGGGTAAAGCATAGCAGTTCTATTCTGCCCTCTCTATTGCACAAGCTGTTGATTATGATCATGTTAAGCAACTGATCTTGAAAGTTTATGAGTAGTGCCTGAGGCTATATACAGAAATTCAGAAATTAGAAGAAAAATGAAAAGATCAGGAAAATTGGTTTGATAAACTTTTTCTGCATGGGTATCGTTTAATGCACATGTTACAAGGTTTTAAGGATTCGTATTCAAAATTTAATTACGCTACTTCTTGCTTATGTCGTACCAATTAGTATAGAATAATATTGTAGCTAATAATCCATATTTTAACAGTATACAAGTTTTAATTTATTAATTCTATAAGGCAATATTTAAAAATATCCTGAATTTCCCCTAGTGTAAGAAATCTGACATATTTTCTCTAGGCATCCCCTCTTCTCTATTTTATACACCACCCCTCCAATAATTATGAAATTTAATGTAAATTATTCACTATAAAATCATCATTGTTCAGACAAACCATAATTTTTATAGCCTTCAATCTTGTTTGGTTACAAAACCATCAAATATAAAATCAGAAATATCTTGCCACACCCACCTGCCACATCTTCTCTTTCAGGAGTTGTTAATAGTTCTTTCTTACTCTTAATACTATATTAGGTATAGCCAATAGAAAGCTAAAGTTTTCATCTATCAAATGACATATTACATTATGTTGTTTTCTGAACAGAGGATTATTATTTTGCCATGGAAAAAATAAGGACTAGTTTGGATGAATTTGTAACAACTCTTGTCGCATAGTTAGAAAGTCAGAAACATTGTGATAGTTAGGGGACATTGTCTGCTTTTTGCACATTATTATTCTGATTTTAAATGTGTAAAAAAATGGTCAATTGGTCAGTCAAATTGACCAAGCTCATGTTGAAAGATTAAGTGGTCAATGAAATCTGAAAATCTTAGACAACTAGTCCTGACTGAGCAATTTAAATCTTGTGTCCCATATAATGTTAACTTATTTAGATTAACAGAATTGAAATATTGCATGAAGCTGTAGTTCTAGCTGATGAGTACAGTCTAACTCACAAGTCATGACAAACTCCATGCAGTCCAGTTCTATGCCAACTAGCTCCCCCTCAAAGGTCAATAAGCATAACAAAGTAGAACTAAATCCAGGCCATATTATTTCTGAGTGTTGGACTTGAGAGAAGAAGAACCAGACCAAGGCCTTCGTGGTGTCTGACCAAAAATGTAAGGTTGAGTTTCATCGACACTCAACATTTAAAAAAACAAAAAAAACAGGTAAGTATTACATTTCTTGTTTTTCATGTGTATTCTTTATTTATTATTATAAAAGTAAATAAAATGTAATAAATATTAACTTTTTAGGTTAGACATGGTAAAATAAAGAAAAAACAATAATAATTTTTCGCTAGGCACACTTGTGAATAGCCCGCGAGTTACTTAATTTGATAGGGTAACATGAACTACAAGTTTGTTTGTCAAGTGACTTACAACTTGTGAGGTGGGATTATTACTGAGATAAGGTTCAAAGAGCAGTAAAAAAATAAAATTTATATAGAAATAGATGTATACTATCAAACATTGTTTTAAGACAAACTTTATTTTGTATCTGTTATTTTCTCCACCTTAACTCTATACGGGACTGACCTCATAACCACCATAAAAAAATTAAGAAATAAATCTAAATTATGCTTTTTTAGTTCTAGAATGAGTGAAAACTGTAACAGAAAATCACAAATGTTTAGTGTAAATAGCTTAAATTTGTAACAGTATAAATCTATTTATATTTTTTAATGTTTTTTGTTTTATTGGCCTTTGAGCCATGTCTGAGTGACATTAACATTTCTGTACAATGAAAATGTATTTCTGACAGGTACTTACATCCTCTCATACAAAGCTATCTCAATCTTCTTTCTATCCCCTAAGCATTGCTAAAAAATATAGCATTCAATGCACCAGTCTATATACACCACATATTTTGTGTCACTTATGAACAGGTATATAGCATGTGACCACCCTCCACCAATAGCATTTCTCCACCTATACTGGCACAGCTAGCTCCCTCTGATTCTCCCTCTTAATCTTCACCATTGAGAATTGGCAGAATCTAAAATGAAGAACACTGGCAGTGGGGATGAATGCTAGGAAGTGTGTGAGGTAAGTGCTTATCAGAAATACATTTTCAGAGTAAGAAAATGTTACCTTCCAAAAGGTTCTTACCTCCACTCAAACAAAGGTATAATCCCACACTGAAAAGATGAAGGGACCGGTGTAGATACCTAAATGTGAAACCAAGCAGAAAGTAACCACCTAGAAATAACTAGTGTACTCAGAGACAAAACCAAAGCATACATGCGAGGCACTGCACTACTTCTGGAACATCCTCAACCAAACAGACAAGGTTTAACAAACCATCTCAGCATTAGGAGGTTAAGGATCACCCAGATAAAAGAAAATTAGAGCAACATAAACATTGTGGTTAGAGCACATGGACCTTGTAATACATAAACACTAACAACAACCCCAACTGTAAGTAAATACAGTGACATACATCAAGATATCAAAATTATGAAGAGTAAGTTAGTATTTGGCCAAAACCAGAAAAACTCCCTAAACCACTGTAGGAGCAAGAAGTACAAGAAACTGAACCTGGCCTCAAATCAACCATAGGAACAGGGCAATACCTGTAACCCGTATTAAGAGCAGAAATCATAACTCACCCACCCATAAATGCAGGGAAGATACATCCCACACCTGGAATTATGAGGAGGATATGGAACATTTGCTCAACCATAAGAGCAGGGAAGGAAATCTCCTGCAGCAGGTTTCAAATCCTAACATATATAGACAGACACTTTTCATTACATAGATGAGTTAATTGCCATAAATAACTTGACTTGGATGTTAATAAAAGGCAAAGCAAAACTGGCTATTTTTGATAAAAGAAGGGAATTCAATTTTCCCATTCTTAGTCTACTCACCCCCCAATAGTGTTATTCCACGTATGATGTTAAAGGGCACCGTTATATCTCAGCTAAAAAGATTTTTAACAGTTTGTAATAGTGATAATGCTTTTATGGATAATGTTATATTATTCATAAATAAACTAGAAAATAATGGCTATAAATACTAGCAATTAAAAAAATTACATTGTTTTGTAATAGATATGAAAATATTTAAAAAATAAAATTTCAATAAGGAAAACACCTTTTTTGTCACAAGAGGTATTAGCTACCTTTAAGTAGCTAAAATTAAAAGTATAAGTTTATTCATTATACCAGGACAGAAAGTAGCTGGGATTGTCTTGGCTTTCCCATGTTATGCTTAAATAAATTTTCAAAAGAAAGAGAGGAGGTTAGGAGTATGAATTGCATAAGAAATATTAAGGTAGGGCTTGTAGTTATATTTATGATCTTTCATTATTTCATTTGTTTTGTAAGGTAAGAGGTTGGGAGTAACATATAACATATAGTAGAAATATAAGGGTGGTTTCATTTCATTTCTAATTTAGAAATTATTAGAACTTTTAAGGGTGAAGGTTGGGAGTGGCATATAGTAGAAATATATTAGGGTTGTTTCATTTCATTTCTACTTTAGGAATTAGAAGAACTTTTAAGGGTAACTGCCTTCCCACAACTGGCTGCAGACAGTGAAAGGCAGTATAAGTTAAGATGCTGTGTGTGTAAGCACTCAACTTCATACCCTTAATTAATTTTCCATGATTATTGGCTAGTTTAACATTAGCATTTGGATTTTGTCTGGTAGATGGGATATCCTCAATGCATTTGGGAGCTATTACCACAGACAATATCTGTTATGA